CTCCCAAAGTGCTGGGATTACAGGCGTGAGCCACCGTGCCTGGCCTGGTAAACTGTCTTAACTTCACTATACAACTTGCCCGAATATTTTCCTGCACGAGATCCAAGAACCAGCTCTTAGTACAAGACCCTCTTCCCATGACAAGCTGAACCACAGATTTCTTGAGGGCCAAGAACTTGGTCACAGTCATCTGCTTCTGCACAAATGGAAATGAGTGTGGCAGTTATAAACGTCTGTTGAATGAACAAACAGAAAGGAGTGTTGGTAGGGCCACAAGCCCCATCCTGGGGTCTCCTTACTCCCGCAGCAAGGGTATTTAGCCCCCTCACACCCCAGGGCATCCCTTTTAGCTCAGACCCTTCAGGCACTCAGGGGATGCTCTTCAGCCCAGCTTCTGTGACTCTGCAGTGAACACCCCTTCTTCTAGGGGTGGGTGCAGTGGGAACGCCATGGGGATTTCCTGAAGCGTAGCTGTGGCCTCCCCACGCCCAGTGGTGCACACAGAGCACCCTGCCCCTCACACTCCTCCCTAGATCTATTTACATAATTACATACCATTCACTTCACTCATTTAAAGTATAACACTCAGTGGTTTTTAATATATTCAGTTGTGCAACTCTCACCATCACCAATGTGTGTGTATGTGTGAGTCTCGCAGTCTCGCTCTGTCACCCAGGTTAGAGTACAGTGGTGCAGTCTCAGCTCATGGCAACCTCTGCTTCCTGGATTCAAGCAGTTTCACCTCCTTCAGCCTCCCCAAGAGCTGGGATTACGGGCACCCGCCACCACACCCAGCTAATTTTTGTAGTTTTTAGTAGAGACAGGCTTTCACCATATTGGTCAGGCGGGTCTCGAGCTCCTGACCTCAGGTGATCCACCCACCTTGGCCTCCCAAAGTGCTGGGATTACAGGCGTCAGCCACTGCGCCCAGCGTCATGACCAATTTTTGAACATTTTCATCACCCCCAAAAGAAACGCCACACCTATTACAGCAGTCACTTCCCACTTCCTTTCAACCCCTGCTCCCTGACCTAGGCAACCACCAATCTACTTTTTGTGTCTATACATTTGCCTATTCTGGACGTTTCACATATGTGGAATCACATAACATGTAGGCTTTTGTGATTGGCTTTTTTCAGAGCTTAGTGTTTTTAAGGTTATCAGTATTTCATGCATCAGTGCCTCATTCTCCCTTTTTTTTTTTGAGACGGAGTTTCACTCTTGTTACCCAGGCTGGAGTGCAATGGCGCGATCTCGGCTCATCACAACCTCCGCCTCCGGGGTTCAGGCAATTCTCCTGCCTCAGCCTCCTGAGTAGCTGGGATTACAGGCACGTGCCACCATGCCCAGCTAATTTTCTGTATTTTTAGTAGAGACAGGGTTTCACCATGTTGACCAGGATGGTCTCGATCTCTTGACCTTGTGATCCACCCACCTCAGCCTCCCAAAGTGCTGGGATGACAGGTGTGAGCCACCGCGCCTGGCTTCATTCTCCCTTTTTATGATTGAATAATATTCAATTGTATGAATGCAGTTTTAGTTGCTGTTTATACATCATCACTTGATGGGCCGCTGTGTTGTTTCCACTTTCTGGCTATTATGAATGATGCTATTATGAACACATATGAATGTGTAAGTCTTCATGCGGACATCTGTTTTCGTTTTTCTCGGGTAGAGCTGGGAGTAGAATTGCTGGGTCACATGGTAACTTTTGAGAAACTGCACCGTTTCCCAAAGTGGCTGCACCGTTTTGCATTCTCAGCACTGTATCAGCGTTCCAATTTCTTCACATCCGCCTTATCTGTACCACTTGTCAGTTTCTGTCCTTTTAACTGTCATCTCCGTGGGTGTGAAGTGTTATCTCACTGTGGCTTTGATTTCCCTAGAACTATTAACAAGCAACAACTCTGCCAGAGGTATGCGTTCTGGAGATGAGCCCTCTAGGCCTGGATCAGTTCTGCCACTACTGTTAAGAGCTGTGAGACTTTAGTGTCTCTTTACCTCTTTAGCCTATTTCCTTACCTATGAAACATGTGACTTCACTGGTTTCCTAGAAACATGCAGTGAGATTACACATACATGGCATATAGTACATAATTACTAGAACATGATCAAAAACAATAATAGGTCTCAAAAATGTCACTATTGAAAAAAGTCTCATGCAGGTGCAGTGGCTCACACCTGTAATCCCAGCACTTGGGGAGGCCAAGGTAGACAGATCCCTTGAACCCCTGAGTTCAAGACCAGCCTGGGCAACATAGTGAAACCCTTTCTGTATCAAAAAAATACAAGGCCCAAGACAAGGGGAGTCATTCTCCGGTGGAACAGACTGTCTCATGATTTCTTAAGACGACTTGTTGGCAGATCTATTGATCAGATCATAATGAAAACATGTCATGAGAAGCTGAGGACAAAAGGGTCAGCCTGTTCAGTATGCAACTGAGACGTCCATGGTCAAAATGAGAGACCCATAGAAAGAGAGCCCAATAGGTGGCATTAATTTAGCTGCTTCTGCCCTTTCCTAATGTTAAAACTTGGCTAAGCAAGCATTTTCCAGCAAAGAAGACAGATGAACCCCAAATGCCCAAGCAGAGCTTTAGAGCAGCGGAGGAGGAAAAGTGGGAGGCGTTAGACAAGAGGCCCAGTAGATGGCCCTAACTAGTTTCTCTAATACGGCCAGCCGGCAAGGGCAACTTTGCCCCAGAGGGTCTGATCAAACAAGGCTACAGCAGTGATGGAGACGCCTCCAGGGAAGGTGTGAGACTCCCAGCATGGTTGTAAGAGGGGCACACAGAGAAGCAGCAGCCAGATAAAGAAATTCTTCAAGTCTTTGTTCTTTTTCCGGAACAACAGGCCCCACTCTTGTGAATTGCAAATTGGCACAAGGGCCATAGGCCAGAGGCTAGCTGAGTAGCTGAAAATGAGTTGGAGGCCAGGCACAGTGGCTCATGCTTGTAATCCTAGCACTTTGGGAGGCCGAGGCGGGCAGATCACCTGAGGTCAGGAGTTCAAGACCAGCCTGGCCAACACGGTGAAACCCCATCTCTACCAAAAATACAAAAAAATTAGCCAGGCATGGTGGCTTATGCCTGTAATCCCAGCTACTCGGGAGGCTGAGGCAGGAGAATCACTTGAGCCCGGGAGGCAGAGATTGCGGTGAACTGAGATTGCACTATTGCACTTCAGCCTGAGCGACAGAGCAAGACTCCATCTCAAAACAAAACAAACAAACAAACAAACAAAAACTGAGGTGGAGATTTTTCATCTCCCAATATCTTTATTCATCAAACTCATGGACCACATGAAGTCTTCTCATCTCCATTACCGTTCTTTTTTGGTGTGTTTTTGTTTTTGAGACAGGATCTCCCTCTGTCACACAGGCTGTAGTGCAGTGGCACGATCACAGTTCACTGACCTCCCCGGCTCAATGAATCCTCCCAAGTAACTGGGCCTACAGGCCCACACCATCACACCAGTTTTTTTTTTGTTTTGTTTTGTTTTTTAAGACATGGGGTCTCGCTATATTGCCCAGGTTTCATCTCCGTTATGTTTGTGTACCAAACTCATAGACCGACAGGGAGACTTTTCATCCCATATCTTTGTCCAGCAAACTCATAGGCCAAGATGGAGGCTTCTGATCCCATTCTCTGTCTACCAAAGTCTCCTTCCAGTGCTCGGGTAGGGCCTGTCTCACCCTAGTGCATCTTTTAACGATGGTGACATGGGCTGGTCTCTTCTCTTTGGCTGATCAAATCTCTTACCTTGGGCCAAAAAAATGCCCTGCTCAAACCCAACAATGCTCAGCACCAGATTTTTTGGTACAATGCTAAAATGCCTCTGTTCCTAGTTTTTGCTTCATCGAGACACTGTTCTTAAGGAGGCAGGAACTCAGTGCCCCCTTCTCTTTAGGTCTGGCCCAAGCAGGACATGAGGGCCACCTTATGCATACCCAGTGTGTGGAAGAGCAGTGCCATAGATGCACAGACGTCTGAGACCCTGTGTCCAACCCCTGGGCCAGTCCACTTTGACAGGCCCCAGCTTCTGGGTCTGTGACCATGCGCCAGCCCCACGTTCCTTTCCCCACACCCCTTTTTGAAACTTCCCACTCCCCTCCCTACCATTTTCTGTGCAAACATTGCAAGTGGAGACTCACAAACGGCCCAACCCAGTTCCAAAGCACATCATACAAACGGCAAAGGTGTTTCAGATTACAGACTTTTAAAGAAGAAAGAAAAAACGGGAGGGGAGAAAAGAAAAGAGTGGACGACAAGGGAATCGGCCAGGCAACGTCTGCCTTGGTGGCAGGCAGGCCCTGGTGCTGAGCTAGCCACAACCCAAGTCCAGACATTCATCCTGCCTGGCTCCACGGCCGGCTCCCATTCAAGAGACTGGCTCCCCCACGTGAGAACCGGCCCCTGAGAACAGGCCTTTCCCAGCTGACCACCTGCCCTTGGAACTTGAGAGCGCAGGGGACCAGGACGGCCGGCTCGAGGGCCCCAGTTCTTTTTCCCACCTTGGAACGCGAGACCCCCTGACCTCCTCCCTCAAGTGACACTGCGCACAGAGCAGGGACGCCCTGCCGCGCTGGGCTCCGCCGGGAGGAAAAAGGAGGCCGTGGACTGGGAGGAGGTCGGGTTTCGCTGCCTCAGCGCCGCCGCCTGGGCTACTCTTCCACCCCCGGCTCGGGTTCGAAGCGGCGCGGCCCAAAGAGGAAGAAAGACGAAAAGGAACTTTTGCCCGTGGTTTCGGTCAGCAGGCGGGTCAGGCCCCGCGGGGCGGGGTGGAGGGTGGGGGGTGGTGGCCGGAGAAACTGGCGATCCCGGCGCCCTGCGTGCGCGGGGGCTGAGGCTGCAACTTTGCCGGAGGAAGCCCCGCCGCGAACTCGAGCCACGCGGCTCCCCGCCCGCTGCGCGACGCTCCCGGGGCTCCGGCTGGACCCGGGCCCTGCTTTCCCGGGACGCCCCGTGTGGGACCTCCGCCCGCGCCCCGCCCTCTCTTACCATCTGCGCCACTTTCAGCAGGGCCGCGTGGGTGCGGGGGTAGCCGGGGTCCAGCAGCCCCTCCAGGGGGCTCGCGCCGGGCTGGGCCGCACCGGCCCCGGGTCCGAGCGCGCCGCCGCCGCTGCTGCACGTGGTGCGGACGAGCCCGGCTCCGTGCGACATCGCGCGGCCCCAACTCGCTGGCCGCCTCCTGGGGCCGCGGCCCGGGGGCCAGATGCTGAGGGCGGGCCGGGGGCGGGCGGGGGCGGGCGCTGGGGAGGGCGGGGCGCCCCGGTCCCTGCCCAGCAGCTGGGGACGCCTGTGGCGGGATCCAGCCGGGACCGGCCGGCCGGCGCCTTCCAGAAAGGTAGTGGCAGTCCCGGCCGCGTAGATGCGCGGAAGTTGGACTGGAGCGAGAGGAAACCGGATGCCATGGGTCGTGGCCTCCCCGAAGTGGGCAAGGCCCGGACCGCAGCTGGTACTGAGCCTCCTGGGATTTTGTGTGGGTGCGGCTGCGGATGTGTGCTGAGAGCACTTTGCTGAAGTTTAACTTACACACAGTGTGATGCCCAGACCTTACGTGTTCAGCTCCACTAATTTTTATGTATGTGTACACCTGTGTAACCGTCGCCCTGATCAACAAATAGAACGTGCCCATCACCCCCAGTAAGCTCCGTGGGGGGCCATCCTGACCTCCCCTCCTTCCCTGTCCCCATTCCCGCACCCCTCCCCACCCAGCCTCAGCCAACCCCTGCAGTGGATTCTGCTTTCTGTCGCTGGAGGTTCGTTTAGCCTGTTCTTGGACTTCATAAACTTGAAGTAATGTAGAATATTGTCATTCAACATAACACACTAGACGATCCATCCTGTTGGGAATTCAAGTAGTTCGTATCAGTTCCTTCCCTTTTATTGCCGAGTAGTACTCCACTGTGCAGATACCATATTTTTAAAAAGTTTACCCGGTTGATGAAATGAACTTCCTTTCTTCTTCCTCCCTCCCTCCCTCCCTCCCTCCTCTCCCTCCCTCCGTCCTTCCCCCTTCCCCCCTCCCTCTCTCTCCTTCCCTCCTTCCTCCCTGCCTCCCTCCTTCCCTCCTCCCTTCTTCCTTCCTCCCTCCCTCCTTCCTCCTCCCTCATTTCTTTCCTGGCTGTAGTGACTATTCTGGTACAAGTTAAGAATACAAACTCGGCCGGGCGCGGTGGCTCAAGCCTGTAATCCCAGCACTTTGGGAGGCCGAGGCGGGTGGATCACGAGGTCGAGAGAGCGAGACCATCCTGGTCAACATGGTGAAATCCCATCTCTACTAAAAATACAAAAAACTAGCTGGGCATGGTGGTGCGTGCCTGTAATCCCAGCTACTTAGAAGGCTGAGGCAGGAGAATTGCCTGAACCCAGGAGGCGGAGGTTGCGGTGAGCCGAGATCGCGCCATTGCACTCCAGCTTGGGTAACAAGAGCGAAACTCCGTCTCAAAAAGAAAAAAAAAAAAAAAAAAAGAATACAAACTCTCATTTCTCTGGGATAAATATCTGCAAGTGAACTTACTGGTCACAAGAGGAGCATATGTTTGCTTCTATTAGAAGCTGTCAGCCTGGGCAACATGGCCAGATCCCATTTCTACAAAAAATAAAAATAAATTAGCTGCGTGCAGTGGCACATGCTTGTTTGGGAGGCTGAGGTGGGAGGAGCCTCTGAGCCCAGGAGGTTGAGGCTGTAGTGAGCCATGACCGCGGCATTGCACTCCAGCCTGGGCTACCGAGCAAGACCTTGTCTCAATTTAAAAAAAAAAAGAAAGAAAAGCTGTCAAAGTGACATTCTATTTTGTATCCCTTCTGGGTGGTTTTTAAAATGAAGAAGCCAGGCGTGGTGGCTCAGGCCTGTAATCCCAGCACTTGGGAAGTTAAGGGAGGAGGCTTGCTGGGGGACAGAAGTTCCAGGCTGCAGTGAGCTATGATCTTGTCACTACACTCTTGTCTGGGTGACAGAGTAAGACCCTGTGTCTTAAAGAAAAACACATAAAAATGAAGACAGGCCCAAACAGGACTGCCAGAATGAGGTATGTTATCAATCTGCCTTTTGAGCAGTGTCCCTGTGGCAATATTTAGATTTACTCATTTAGAGATAACATCAAAAAATCTGGCTGGGCGCCATGGCTCATGTCTGTAATGCCAAAGTCATGCTCAGGAGTTTGACACAGCGTGGCAACATGCAAAACCCCATCTCAACCAAAAAGTACAAAAATGAACCGGGCATGGTGGCACATGCCTGTAGTCCCAGCTACTCAGGAGGCTGAGGTGGGAGGATCGACTGAGCCCAGGAAGTTGTGATCACAACACTGTACTCCAGCCTGGGTGACAGAGCAAGATCCTGCCTCAAGAACAAAGCAGAACGAAACAGAAAACTACCTTTGTGAGTTGATTCCCTGCCAGTGCTGTCTTGTCATCAGAAGAGTTTTCAGTGTGGCACAGTTTTAGTCATTCTTGTGTGTGGATGATACCCACGCAGTCTCTGTTTTGGCAAGCCTCTCAGGTGATTCTGATACACCCTCAGATTTGAGAACCATTGTCATTGCTGGAGCCCACTACGGTTGAGGCATTTGGGGGTTTATTAATTCCACCTTTATGTGCATTTGACAATTCTCATAACCAAAAAAAATTGCCTTCCATGTGTGACTTTGTGGACAACAGTGACGGCTGCCTGTTGGTACCTCCATTTCTTTCTCTGTAATGCAGGAATCATTGCATCTAGGGACTGCTGTGACAATGTGATAGAGATGCAGGCATGCTGTGACATCTCTGGCTCTGTGCCCACAGGCATGAAGTTAGTACTGTGTATCATTTTTTACGTAGGTGTACATTTCACTCCCATACTTGTCCAAGGCTTCAGAACCCACAGTGGAGATGGCAGGGCATCTTTGCTGAGGTGAGGGCTTCAGGGGAGTGGAAAAACCATGTGCTGGATAATTTCTCCTTTGAGGGGTCTTTATCTAATTCAGCAATCTTATAACAGTGATTTTTCAATGTATAGTCCCCAGACCAGCAACACCAGCAGCACCTGAGAACTTGTGAGGAATGCAGCTTCTGGGGCCCCACTCTGACCTGCTGAATCAGAAACTCTAGGGGTAGGGCTCAGCAGTGTGTGTCTTGACAAGTCTTCACAACCCCACCCTCACTCCCCACCCCCTTCACCACCACTATCTACAATTCTGATGCATGCTCAAGTTGGAGAACCACTGTCACTTCCTGAGTCTGCTCAGAAACTGCTGAGACATTGCTGGGCTTTTCTGCCTGATGTTGCCTAGCAACGCACCGCCCACCTCTGATAGGAAATAATCATTGTGCTGGCTACTCTGCGTTAATCACTTTATTGCGATCACTGAAGAGCTGGAGCAAGATGCTTACCAGTGCAAGGGCCATGGCTGGCCCAGTGTACAGGAGGCTTCAGAGACTGGCTTTGCCAAGTGCACTGAGATGTCCACACTAGCGTGTTGTCTGCTGGGTGTGAATAGCTGTCCCCTGGGGAGACCTTTGCAAGGTCTTAGGCAAAAGGCTTCATGGCCCACTTTTTTTTTTTTTGAGGCAGAGTTTTTCACTTTTGTTGCTCAGGCTGGAGTGCAGTGGTGTGATCTTGGCTCACCATGACCTCCACCTCCTGGGTTCAGGTGATTCTCCTGCCTCAGCCACCTGAGTAGCTGGGATTATAGGCATGCACCACCATGCCCAGCTAATTTTGTATTTTTAGTAGAGACGAGGTTTTTCCATGTTGGTCAGGCTGGTCTAGAACTCCCGACCTCAGGTGATCTACCTGCCTTGGCCTCCCAAAGTGCTGGGATTACAGGCATGAACCACTGCACCCAGCCCACAGTCCACTGCAAAGGTGCCACACTCTGGCCATGGGCAGTGGCTCTTGCCTATAAGCACTTCGGGAGGCCAAGGCGGGTGGATCACTTGAGGTCAGGAGTTTGAGACCAGCTTGACCACCGTGGAAAAAACGCTGTCTCTACTAAAAATACAAAATTAGCCAGGCCTGGTGGTGCATGCTTGTAATCCCAGCTACTCAGGAGGCTGAGGAAGGAGAATCACTTGAACCTGGTGGAGATTGCGGTGAGCCGAGATTGCGCCATTGCACTCCAGCCTGGGCAACAAAAGCAAAACTCCGTCTCAAAAAAAAAAAAAAAAAAAAAAAAAAGGATGTCACTCTCTAAGAGGGAGCCAGCCAGGTGGCTGACCTCTGAATATCTGGTGATAAATCAAGATGTCCGGCCGGGCGCGGTGGCTCAAGCCTGTAATCCCAGCACTTTGGGAGGCCGAGGCGGGTGGATCACGAGGTCGAGAGATCGAGACCATCCTGGTCAACATGGTGAAACCCCGTCTCTACTAAAAATACTAAAAATTAGCTGGGCATGGTGGCGCGTGCCTGTAATCCCAGCTACTCAGGAGGCTGAAGCAGGAGAATTGCCTGAACCCAGGGGGCGGAGGTTGCGGTGAGCCGAGATCGCGCCATTGCACTCCAGCCTGGGTAACAAGAGCGAAACTCCGTCTCAAAAAAAAAAAAAAAAAAAAAAAAATCAAGATGTCCAAGTTATTCTCCTTTTCTCTGCACCAAGGGATTGCAGGTGGCTTATTGGCAATTTCAAAGCTTCAATTAGAGTGGTACTCTAATCCGAGTCACGGCACCAAAAAATAATAATAAAGAGAGGTACTCTGATTACAGCTCTTCTTCACCAGTGTGTTTATGAGTTTATATCTGATCAGATATAATGAAAAAAGCAGTAAAATTGTAGTTGACTCTGTTTCAGTCACAGTGTTTTTGGTGGCAGAAATTAAAATTAAGCAAAAAGAATTCATTCAAGCTGGGAGTCGTGGTGCATGCCTGTAGTCCCAGCTTTTCAGGAGGCTGAAGTAGGAAAGATTTCTTGAGCCCTGAAGTTTCAGGCCAGCCTGGGCAACATAGGAAGACCCTGTCTCTAAAAACAAAAAAGAAAATAGGCTGGGCACAGTGGCTCATGCCTTATAATTACAGAGTCCAGCCCTATAGGGTTCTATGAGCCCTTCCCTGCTGGTGCAGAGACAAGAAACTGTAGAAATAAAAGACACAGACGCAGAGAAAAGAGGGTTTGGGCCTGTGGGTCCACTGCTAACCCAAGCACGGAGACCTGCAGTGGCCCCGAGTGCCGAGTGCCGGGACACTCTGACTTTTACTGAGTACACAGCAGGGGGAAGGGCAGGTAGGGTGAGGCAATGATGGGTGGTGATAGCGTCAGGTAAGTCACGTGTCTTGAAGACAGGGGGCTTGGGACTTGCAAGTAGCCAAGGCGAGGAGAAAACCCAATGCATCAGCACTCTTTGCATATTTGTCAGAAATGTCAAGGACACTGAGATTGTTACTATTATTCTAATCTTTTT